AGATTGTTGCATGATAAATTATAGATTATTATGCGTTTTACATTAGGGATGCTTAAACAGTTAAAAAGTCAGGACTTGAAATAAAGTATTGAACTGAATTGATATCACTTGATGCAGTGATAATAGGTTAGTAATTGGTTAGGATCAAATAGACCCCAATCACATAGGGGTGCAGGGGGATGCAAGTCCACTGTTTTTATTGACCTCTCTGTCAATTCTGTGATACTACACTTGACTTTTGGGGTATATTTTTTCGATGACCAATCATTAAGAAATAAGTTCAGCTTTTCTTACATTTCTGTAGGTGTTTCCACCCATTGGGTCGACTGCAAATTGAAAGAATTATTTTGATTTTTCGTCTTCTCTTAATACTCTAACTTCACTTAATACTTTATGTCTTTATTCTTCAGTGGCGCTACAGATTGAGAAGGCCAAGCGTGTTCTAAAGCAGGTGAAAGTTGCATGTTTTATTACCACCCAACCATCCATGATCCGATCCAAGCTAGCAGCAGTCAGCAACACCTGGGCACCGAGAATAGACAAAATATTCTACCTTATGACCGACAATAAAACTATGAACATATCATTTCCTAATCTTCTACTGGTGAATATAACCAACGATCGACAACATCTGACAGAAAAGACCGTATTTGCTTTTAAATATCTGTACAAACACCATTTAAATGAATTCGATTGGTTTTTGAAAGCTGATGACGATTCGTACATAATTGTGGAAAATTTAAAATATCTTTTATCGAAATATAATTCGTCGAAACCCATCTACCTCGGTCACCATTTTAAACACTATTCTCAAAATGGCTACATGAGCGGAGGAGGGTCATACGTTTTAAGCCGCGAAGCCTTAAGACTGTTGGTAGAAAACGGATATAATGTGCCTGGAAGATGCAGACAAAAAGGCGGAGCAGAGGATATAGAAACTGGTCGATGTTTGACTAAGGCTGGTGCATTAGTACATAGTTCAGTGGATAATCGCGACAGAGAATCGTTTCACCCAATGAATATCTACGGTTATATTATTGGTCCACTTCCAAAATGGATAGTTAATTACGATAGAAACGAAGCGAAAGTGGTAAGAATATTTGTTTTTAAAAGTTCCACTAAATGGTTTAATGCAGAGTATAAGTGTTGCACCTTTGGGACACTGGTCGATGCTTTGGAACACAATAACTTTGATTCTGATTAAGATAGAGTAGTACACAATTTCACTACATCAAAAGTTCGATCATGAGCATTTTCTACTTAGACTTAAAAAAGATAAATCTACTCAATATACGTCATCTAGTTATTTTGGGCTTGCGACGGGGGACATCAGACTCACTGTTGTCTTGTTTATGTTAGCTAGTGAGGGTGTTGTGTTCTTTATTAATATAAGACATGCCCGGGTCTTAGAAATAAGACTTAAGAGTAAAGATACCAAAAATACAAAATCTAAATATATTAGAATAAAGTTAACTTTTACATTTATTGGCAAAAGAAATATAATATTATGAATCTTTTTCAGGGTAACAATTGCTGTAGTCAACTTACAATCAGCTTCCATTACACAGGACCAAAGTTAATGTCTACGTTAGATTTCCTACTTTATAGAACTAGTGTTTATGGTAGAAACTTGGATTATGGCAGACTTAAAAATTTCTTCAAATTAGGAACTGTACCACCACCTGGCCCGGAAACCAAACTTATACCGTATTTCTTTGAAAAGAGAGAAGACTATTTTAAGAATGCAACTGCCTGGAGATTAAGAAATAATACAGTTTTATAAAAGATTATTTTAACTGTAGCGATAGTTTGAAACAGACATTATAATGGCATGTTAAATACTCCTAGTGAATCGTTTGCCCTATTTGTGCCCGATGTCAGTGAGGTAGTGATAAATTCATGTACACCGCAGTTTTTGGAATTTGTGTATTCAGAGACACCTATACATGGTAACATAACTAAACACATGCACGATTCCACCGAAACTCCTAGCTGTGTTCGTTTGATTTCCCCAAAATTCCTCTCAGTGTTTCATTAGATTCCACCAAAACTGCTCACAGTGGTTTGTTTGGTTCCACAAAACTCCTCAATGTGTTTTCTTTGATTCCACCAAAACTAATCACAGGGCTTTGTTTGATTGAACCAACTTCCTGGAAGTGTTTAGTGTTTTGTTTGACAAATGTACACTCAACACTGGTGTCTGGCTAACATGAATTGCAACTTGAACACGTTTACACGTTTACCTACATGTGTAAGGGCAATTAAAATTCTGTATTTTGGTCACATTTCGTTATTGTGAGATCAGGTGAATTTCTGACAATATATTGACAGTTTAAGATTTTTTGAAAATAATTGAAATTTTTTATAGTTTATTATATAGGGACGACAATTAATTAATTGTTATTCAATCTTTTTAAAAGCTAAATCGCAGCGAAGGCGCCATACGGTCTCAGTCAATTACATTCGACAATTTTATGAGTGTATATTATGTCGAAATCGTTTATATTTGTATTTAAAGACAAATTATAATTATTATTTCAGAATAGTCAAATAAATATTGTCAAATAAAACGGATAATTGAAATTTTGTCATTTTGATTTTTCTGCGATATAAGTGAATACTTCCTTTTATGTGAAATACTTTCTGTTATTAATACCATTTCTCTCCATTTTATCCTTATTTACAAGGCCATTCCTGATGACTTTTTGGTCTAAAATCGAAAAAATGGTTTGGATTGACATTTTTTTGCCAGGTATTTGGTAAGTACTCGTGATTTAGAGGCGAATGGATAATAGAGTTTTAACTCTGTTATCCATTCGCCTCTAAATCACGAGGTTTGTTACGGTGATGTGTAAGGCGGATAGATACATGTTTATTGTAACTATGCTACTTCCAAGGTTGTGCATCTGACAAATTCACTGGTCAACCTCGTACAAACTTTGGATCAAACATATGCCGAGTTGTTGCTCCGTCTGTGATAGAAAGTCTTCAACCCAACGAACTTTTGGGGAACATCGGGGGCTGTGCAAATAGACTAGAGTTAACATTTAAATGTCAATGGGGAATTAATGGTGGTCTGCATCCATGTCGCACAGACATTGTTACTTCCCTTTATCTATTTTATTGATTCTATTCTGATTTTCTAATTGAGAGAGAAAGAGAGAGAGAGAGAGATGAGGTTTAACGTCCACTCGGCACAAACTAGGTCATTTCGGGACTAACACATGGTTTAATTTTATTAATTCACTTGCTCGTAGTGGTCTTTAACAGTGGGAGGAAACCGGAGGACCCAGAGAAAACCCGCGAGGTTGGACAGGCGGCCCTACTCCTTGTCACGTACAACCGGGGAATCGAAACCACGCTAGTGGACTCAATGACAGACCTTATGATACAGCACGCACGTACTAACCATTCGACCCCCCCCCCCCCCACACACACACACACCCTTCGATGAAAATAAAACGCGAACTAAGTTGCGTATTGGTTAGATAAAATATAGTTTAAGATAGTCGAAAATGTTCTACTAGTTTGTGTTATTCACTGTTGTACACGAGCAAAGTATTTAACTAATGCCTTTGAATTGGTTACGGAAAAATTAATATTATGTTCAATACACCATAACCAAATTTCATGTGCTATGTAGTTGGATGCACGTGATCTACTGCCGCCCCTGTTATTAATATAACATACAGTAGTTGTATTATCAATATGAATATGTATATTTGTGAAACTGTAGCAGGGGGAATCTTAAAGCAAAATACACTCTGTTTTTAACTAATTCTTTGATATGCAAATCACTCTCTAATGAGGACCATCTTTCACCGGTAGTAATTGGATTCTCTGTACCAAGATGTGCTCCCCATCCAACTTTTGAGGAATCTGAATACAGAAACTTTGTTGGTTTCTCATGGAAAATATGTTTTCTGGATGATATAATATTATCAATCCACCAATTTAGGTGAGAAACAACTGTATCAGATAAGGTAGTAAATGCTTCAAAGTTACCATAATTTTACCTTAAAGCATCTATCTTGAGGTTTTCTAAAGAGTGATAGAATAATTTGGAATATTCAACTCCAGGAATACTTGAGACCATTAAATCAATTAATTTAGCAAGGTCGACAATTCCAACAGATCTCTGTTTAAAAATTTGTTTACAGAAAGATTGTAAATGTAATCCCTTCTGTGGAGTTAAGCTGGCTGTCGTAGATTTTAAGTCAAGCAGAAAAACCAAGAAATAAAATTGTTTGTGAAGGATAAAAGACAGATTTATGCTCATTAATAATATAGCCAACAGTTTGTAATAAATCAACAGTAGCTTCTACATTTATTGGACAGCAAGCCAATCCATTGGGGAAAACATGTATATTGATATAAAGTACCTTTCTAACAGAATAGTATGCTTCTTTTAAAGGGCCAATCTCGATTAAATTTTGGAGAATAAAACTGCTTAATTTTGTGTTAAAATATTCGGAGGTGCATTCTAGTAAACCAAAAGATGCCGCTAAAAACGCTATATAGTTAATAAAATAACAAATGGAAAAACAAATACAAAGCAATTCTCGAAAGTTGTTGTCACAACAATGTTTTGAGAATGGGACTGGCAATTGTCATGCAGCGCCCCTGTTGTGTAAATTACTTGAGTCAGGGTCCAAAGATCAAAACGACTGAAACGTAAAATATATTTTTATCTTTAAAAAAAACTAACATTTTCCTTTTCCCCTCGATTTTCTGCTAGCAAATTCCAGGATAATTTAATTTAATTGCAGATTAATGGCACTGGAAATTAAAATATGTGGTATAGCCTTCCCTTGGTGCTCCCCTGAAATAAGATCAACTTTTGCTTGAGCACATTTTCATAGAGAACATTACGAATGCGACGATCTGACAGTTGAATGAACAAGTGACCCCATGTTCGAGGCTAGACGAATAGTACTCTAGACCAGTGCAAGCATGCGCATGGAGGAAACCGAATGCAAACTAATTGCCACCATATTTGTCAATAACATTGGCAAAAGGTAGAAGATTGGCCGAGATTTGATCTATGTATTCAACTCCTAGACTGATGACAATATTAATTATACTTACATTGTTGTGGATTATTATGCTGAAGAAGACTACTCCTAAAATATCATGTAAGATTGACACATGGTCTTTTACAAATACTTAAACTTATTAGCAACGGATTGGCAAAAGAAATTCAACACGATCTGCCAAACCATCTATTTCCGACACTGAATTTGAATGAGCGTTTATCATGACCTGCGTAGGGGCGTATCCAGTCTTTTTTGCAGTAGGGGGTTTGCCAGGTTCCTGTTAAGGGAATTTGACAGTTGGCAATGAATGAAGCCATCATCTTCTCCAAATTACGTAGGCATACATACACACTGAGCTTTTTAAAGAGAGAAATCCAAAACCCTGTTCGACTTAATTTTTATTATGAATTAATAGTATCACTTTATGTATAATAGTGGCACCAGGAGAAATACAATGTAACTTTGTTTATATATGCACGGTTTATTTTAATGTTTTATATAAATAAATAAATAAATAAATAAATAAATATTACTTGATTGACAGTTTATTGGACCCAAAAGGCGCATCGAGATTGGTGTGCATCGTCTGTATCCGTGTGATAAGGCAGTCGTTGTATAATGGTAAAATTAAACTATTACCCAAAAATTAGGATTATCATTTTCAAAAAAATCTAATATTTCAGCGACAACGAAGGAATTAAAGACCGCAGCGAAAACGTTAAAAGAGGGAAATAAAATGAAGACGGCTTCTGATGACAACACATGTAAGTTAAAATCTAACATTGATCTCAATCATAATTTAGGAAACATAATTTAGCAGTTATCAAATAGTTATTTAGCCACATACCTATCCACGTAATACACAATACGCGCCATTCAGTATCACTAGAGATCTGGGCCCTGTTTCTCGAATAAAATTCAAATTTTAGTAGATACTTCAATTTTGATTGGCTAAGCACTAAAATCGATCTAATATTATCCAATCAAATTACTAAAATTCGGATTTTATCTTAGTGAAACAGGCCCCAGACCAATTACAATCTCCCAAATATTTAGTAAGATGATTTGGATAGCTACAAGTACCATATTGGAGTTATACCAACGGCGATTCGCGACTATACTATAATCTTAATATTATAACTTATTGGAATATTGGTTTAAACGATTGAATATTCAGGCAATCAAATTAATTTATTTGCAAACTTCAAAGTAACCCTGTTTATAAAAAAAATTCCAACTGCAGTACGTAAATTGGTCAACTCTAAATAATTTGTAGAGAATAAAAGCATTAATGTTTTTATACGCTCACATTTTAATGTGGACGTATATTGTCGTCGTCCCTGTCCGTCCGTGTGTCCGTGCGTCCGTGTGTCCGTTCACATTTGTTTTTGGACACTCTACAGGTCACAATTTTTATCCGATTTTGACGAAACTTGAAATATAGGTCTATTTACTAAAGATATCGGTTCCTTTCGATATTGGCATGTATCGGACCATAACTTCATGGATTATGGCCCCTGACTGTACGAAAAATCACGTTTTTAGCTTATGGATACTCTAGAGGTTACAATTTTCATCTGATATTCGCGCATACCAGATCGTAACTTCCTGAATTATGGCCCCTGATTGTACGAAAAATCACGTTTTTAGCCTGTGGTCCTTCTAGAGGTCTCAATTATTATCTAAATTAAAAAACCGTTCGAATATATCATTGTTACACCGTAATGTCGGTTAAGTTTGAACTTCGTGAAAATCGGAACAAAACTGGCGGACAAAATGGCCGCCCCTCGTACACAAATAGTGTAGACATATGATATATCAAGTTTGTGGACCCTCTAGAAGTCACCATTTTAATCTGATTTTGATGAAACTTGAAATACATGTTTATAACCCAAAGATCTTGGTTGCTTTCGATATTCGCACATATCAGATAGTAACTTCCTGAATTATGGCCCTTGATTGTACAAAAAATCGGATCAAATCTGCGTACAAAATGGCCGCCCCTCGTATGCAAATAGTGTAAACATATTATGGTATATCAAGGTTGTGGATCCTCTAGAGGTCACAATTTTGATCCGACTTTGATGAAACTTGACATACATGTTTATAACCCAAAGATCTTGGTTCCTTCCGATATTCGCGCATATTGCCTGGGATCGTAACTTCCTGAATAATGGCCCTTAATTGCACGAAAAATCGCGTTTTTAGCTTGTCCCTCTAGAGGTCACAATTTTTTTTATCCGATTTTAAAAAACTGTTTAAATATATCACAATTCTACCATAATGAAGGTTTGATTCGAATTTCGGGACAAAATGACCGCCCCTCGTATGCAAATAGTGTAAAAAAAATATGGTATATCAAGGTTGTGGACCCTCTAGAGGCCACAATTTTTATCCGATTTGGATGAAACTTTAAATTTATATTTATATCACAAAGATCTTGGTTCCTATCGGTAATCGCGCATATCCGAGCGTAACTTCCTAACGTAAGTTAGAATTTCGTAACCGAAACTGTACTCGATAGTGTAAAAGTATGTAATACCAAGGTTGTGGACAATCTAGAAGTCACAATTTCTATCCGATTTTGATAAAACTTGATGTTTATAATCCAAAGATCGTCGTTCTGTTTGATATTTGCGTATATCGGTCACATTTTTTTTCCGTTTTTAGAAAACGTTTAGATTTATCACCGTTACACCCTAATGATGGTTGAGTTCCAATTTCTTGAAAATCGGACCAAAACTGCCTGACAAAATGGCGGCTCCTTGTACACAAATAGTGTAAAGGTATGTAATACCAAGGTTGTGGACCCTCTAGAAGTTTTAATTGTTAATTAGGGTCAGCAGAGCAATAAGCAATTTGATTGGTCGACACATTGAAACCCATAACTCTCCTTCTAATTGAGGTAGAATGTCCAAACTTGGTGTAGGCGTTCATTAGGTGAATGCCTTGATGGAGTACGATGATAAACATTGTTTGCTTACGGTAAGCAAAGATAAGTAATCTGATTGGTTGATGCTTTGGGGCACGATAACTTTGGTTTTAATTAAGTTAGAGGGATGATTCATTATATCTTTACCTTGACTAAGTTTGATGATGAGGATTTTCTGCTTAGGCTAAGGATTGATAAGCAATTTGATTTGTCAAGACTTTGGAACATAATAACTCTGCTTTTAATTGAGGTAGAATGTTTAAACTTGATGTAGATGTTCATTAGGTGACTTTGATTCTATCTGATAGCGAGTGATGAAACTTAGTGTATAGGTGATAATCTGTTTGATTGCTTGATACTATTGAAAAAAATAAACGTGCGATTAATGAATATGTGTCATCTATTTATTTTGGGATTTCAGCGGGGGACATCAGCCTAACTGTTGTTTTCCTAATTATAAGCTGATTCATGTTAATGATGAAAAGGGTAAGACATAGTTCATGAGATAGTTTGGTCATATATCGCTAGTCATGCGAGGTCATGCGACGCCATTGTTTTGGTCAAAATTTTACTGCTGTACTGTAATAAAGAAGATCTGATAAAAATCACTTAGCTCTCGGGGTGATCACATTTACTGAATGAACTGGTAAGCCTCCATTAATGCATGCCTGCCTTTGTATCGATAAATCGATCGTTGTATACTGTTGACTTATAGTCTAGATCTTACCTTGTTACAATACAAGTTGAATGGTTTGTCCCATTAAGCCGCTAGATCAGGGGTGGCCAGCCCTTTAAATAAACAAAAATTTAGATGCACCATACAACAATTTTACCCCCGTCTATTTCAATGAACGAAAGTCGATCTTTGCGTTAGGTTTATTATAAGCACATTCTTAACTGAAACAGACTAATGTGAAAGAAGGATGTGAATGAAGTAATAAAATCGCTAAAAATAATGAACAGGTTTATTACCTTTATACTTTATTATTATCACAGTCACGGGGTTGGTCCTCCCTGCGCTAAATGATCGCACACCGTTATTTTAAAACGGACCATAAATTCTAAATACGCCATGGTACTATTAATACTATGAAAACATTTATATGATACAAACATATGTTGCTTTCCTAACTATTTAATTATTCCTTTCATTAACACTTTGAATTTTTAGATACTTTTATTTTCAGTAATGATAGATGACACGGTCTCTAAGAAGCTAATGAAGAAAATTAGGATTCTGTGTTGGATAACAACTGTGCCAGGAACATTAGACTCTAAAGCAAGGGCTGTAAACAATACCTGGGCTAAACGATGTGATAAAACACTTTTTGTTTTAGCCGACGATCCATCTTTACCAGAAAATACACAAAAAGACATTCTCAGGGTCAAAGTCCCAAATGGAAGAGATCATTTAACCGCAAAAACCGTTCAGACATTGACATATATTCATAATCATTATTTAACACAATATGACTGGTTTTTAAAAGCTGATGATGACACTTATATAGTGATGGAAAATTTAAAGTTTTTATTGTCTCATTATAATCATAGAAAACCCATTTATTTAGGGCATTTATTTAAAAAATATAGTAAATATGGTTACATGAGTGGAGGTGCTGGATATGTTTTGAGTAGAAAAGCTTTAAGAATGTTGGTGAAGAAAGGTTACAGAATACCGGTAATAATATATCCTGTCAGGCAATAATAGTTAAACATGCATTATAAAAGAGCTGAACTTGCAATAGACCTGAAATGTTATATAAATTATTAATTAGACATTAATTAACTTAACCAAGACGATAAGTAGACCATAAGATGCGATATAAGTAGAGTTAAATAGATAATTGAGACTTTATTTATAATCGTAACAAAGGTAGTAATCGAGGCTAGGCTATAATTGTTTCGCCAATATCTTATGGCAGTATATTAGATTCAAAATTCTAACATGGTATCGTCAAATTTCTAACATGCTATCGTCAAATTTCTAACTTCCATTCTTGTAATTTTTAACTGCTTTTCATGTAATTTCTAACTTCTCATGTAATTTTTAAATTAAGACAATGTATAATCCAACTTATTTATTTGTTCAGTGTAAATTTTAATGCAATATGATCTTGTTTCTGTTATTTAGACGAAAAACGTCTTCTTCATTAATGCTTTGCACGTTTAGCATGAACATCAACGAATTTAGAATTTTTATAGTTCTGCCTGCCATGGCAACCATCATTATGAAGTTATTTGGCGATTGCGCATCTGGCTGAGAACATTATGTTGACATAAACAACTCGCTCTTCACCTGGTTGATGGTTAGACGGAGTGCTGAAATTGAGAGAGAGAGAGAGAGAGAGAGAGAGAGAGAGAGAGAGGGGGGTTTATCGGCCACTCGACACAAACTAGGTCATTTCGGGACTAACATATTGTTCAACTTTATTTCAATAATTCGTTTGCGCCTAGGAGTCTAGCCGTGGGAGGAAACCGGAGGACCCAGAGAAAACCCACAAAGTTTGACGGGCGACCCTACTACATGTCACGTACAACCGGGAATTCGATGCTGAAGTTGAAAACATCGGACCTGATACGGTTGGCAAATAATATTTCAAATATAAGCTAAACAACGATTTTTCATTTTTTTTTATTCCTTCATTATACCGACCTGATTAACTTTTCATGTAGTTTTTTTCCAACAATGTTTTATTCAAGTTGCATAAAGCTATACGGAATTTCATAGATAGCGGTGTTCTGGACGAAATTAAACTAAAGTGAAATGGGGTTTATCGTCCTACTTCTCTGCACCAACTGGACTAATGGAGCCGGACTTATGCCATACAGTGTGCCATCTGTGAAATATAGCCCTGACAGCGGCGCCACGGTCTACTTTTATTACGAATTACAGCTGCCAAAGGTTTTCGTCCGATCCTAACGACTAGACACTGCCCCTGCCTATAATAACGACAGCCTCCGCAAATCACAGGAACGGAACTAATAATGTCAGAAATATTATACTTTATTACGAATTACAGCTGCCAAGGGTTTGTGGCTGATCCGAACGACTAGACACTGCCCTTGCCTACAGTAACGGCAGCCTTCGCAAATCACAGGGACGGAACTAATAATGTCAGAAATGTTATAAAGCTTAGTTTTGCCAGTGTGTATACTAGCTGACGATGTTATATAACACATAGATAATATATATTTCTGTGATATAACCGATATCTTCCGTCGTGGTTGTCTCTCCCTTGTTATTGATACAGGAAAGGGGGTCTGGCACGGACAGTGGCTAGTCTTTTGGATCGTATAAAGAGACATACTTTTAGAGCAGTAAAAGAATATAGACTAACGGTATATAAATATTAATTGGTTTAAATGTAAAAAATAAATGTCCTGCACTTGTCTTAAAAAAAACTGAACAAATGCTGTTTAGCTCATATTTGAAATAGTATTTGCAAACCATCATGTTCGATGATTTTTCAATTTTAATCAGTCGCCAAATTGAGCACACGGTGGCGACACCAAAGGCGTCATAATGATGGTTGCTAGGTAGAAGTATCAAAATTCTAAATTAGTTCGGCGTCCATGATTAAAATGTAAAGCGACAAGGAAGTAGACATTTTTCGTCTTAGTAATAGAAATAAGATGAAACAGAATTAAAATTTACACTGAACAAATAAAGAAATTGGATTATACATTGTCTTAATTTCGAAATTACATGAATAGAAGTTAGAAATTACAATATAAGTTAGAAATTACAATAGAAGTTAGAAATTACATGAATAGAAGTTAGAAATTAGACGATAGCATGTTAGAATTTTGAATCTAATATACTGCCATAATATCTAGCCTCAGAGTGAAGTAATTTGACTAAAACATTTCGGCATATTCTCTTTTCATTATCTATTGTTTAGGGCCTAACTATTTTAACGAGAACTGTCAGCTCAGAACTGTCAGCGCTTTGTCTTATCTTACCTAATGCCGCTTTAGATAATATTTTGTGTTTTAAGTTTATTGGCTATACATACTTAGTATTACATACAACTTTTAAAGTCTCTGGTTGTCATGGTCGACTCATGGTAAGGTTTTTTTTTTTAGATCGCAAGCAAACTACAATATTATGTAACTTGGATCTCTTTAAGAAATGTCTGGTCAAAAATGCTTCAAATCTGTTCAGTTTTAGAAAGATATAATGAATTGAAAATTTCTAAACACTCACTGCAGACAATATATAGGACATTTTGACTGAAATCTTTTGACGGGTCTATTTTGTTTAATCCGCATGATTCCGGTTCGGAGATCATCTAACGTGCGTGGATTAGGCAGTGAAAATATTGTTCTTAGAATGCAATTGACGATTAGCGATTTTAAGAATATTTTTGTTAACAATTTCCATGATCAGTTTTTATCGTTTCTAAGCTGCCTTCAAAATTTGTCTTTCGAAAGGCTATTAACCCTGATCTAAAATATATATTTTTGTTATGATTCCAGGGTAAATGTAGAGAAGATGGCGGTGATGAAGATGTTGCCCTGGCTCACTGTTTGCAGTCTGTTAATATACATGTTCACAGCACTGTAGATAAATTTGGAAGAGAAAGTTTTCTACCATTTAGTGGATTTGCTCATGTTTATGGTCCTATGCCACCCGGTTTAGAAGAATGGGATAGAAATACACCCAAAATTGTAAGTATAGGGGTGAAACTCAATCAATTCTAGTAGTGGTTTGCCTTTCAGTCAATTCTGTAGCAGAGGAGTAAATTTCAGTCAATTCTAGTAAATTGGTGAATTTCAGTCTATTCTAGTAGAGGAGTGAATTTCAATCTATTCTAGTAGAGGAGTCGATTTAAGTCTATTCTAGTAGAATGGCGAATTTCAGTCTATTCTAGTAGAGGAGTGAATTTCAATCTATTCTAGTAGAGGAGTGAATTTGACTCTAGTGTCGAAATTCATTCTATTCTAGTAGAGTAGCGAATTTCAGTCTATTCTAGTAGATAAGTGAATTTAATTATGTTCTAGTAGATAAGTGAATTTAAGTTTGTTCTAGTAGAGTGGCGAATTTCAGGCTATTCTAGTAGAGGAGAGAATTTAAATCAATTCTAGTAGAGGACGATGTGGGGTCTAATTTGAATCAATTCTATTAGGGGAGGTTGGAGTCTAATTTCAGTCAATTCTGAACAATTAATATCTGCAAAAATAATGAATTCAGTCCATTAGTAAACGCCTAGTACGTCATGTTGATACGGACATTAGAGACTTTTGGCAAGCGGATTTTTCCCATCCGTATCCCGTATCCGTATCGTATACGTGATACGTTGCGTCAATGTAGTTTTAGAGTTTTGGCCGATTTTAGCAATTTTTGGTTTCACTAGTGTATTATTTCAGAAAGTTTAGCCCGTAGATCAATCAGTATGCAGACAGGCGGGAAAAATATGAAAATTCCGAGAAAAACCCATCAAAAATAATGATTAAATTCCAGTCGTTATCACTGTTAAAATCACATCAAATATACACCTTCGTGTTCTAGGATACACACAGATTCATAAAAACGCTATGATGCAACATTTCAGCGTCTGAAAGTAGCAAAAAAGACGGGAAAAGGACAACAGTGTTATACGGACCATTTCCGTATGAAAGCCGTTCCATACGTGCTGCCGTATCCGTGTGCCGTATCACGTATGAGAAATACACAGACATTAATGACGCCACACGCAAAATCCATACGGATACGCGATACGGACCAGGAAAATACGCTTGCCAAAAGTCTCTAATGTAATTGATTGCGATGAACATCATTCCAGGATCTTCAGCCCCCTTAAGTACGACATTTATTGTATCTAATTGTATTCTATGCTATGTAATCGTCTGAAAAGAACGTTAAACCCCATTCATTCATGGAGATCGCGTGGCTAAGTGGGTAAGAGTACACTGGCTCGCTAACCTGGAGGTCGGGTGTTCGATCCCTGCATTGGCCGAGAAAGTTCATCCAGATTTTTCGGCGTTGTTTCCCCTTGTCAGTGATGCAGGACGGAGGGCCTGACAAGGACAGCTGTCTAGTCGTTCGGATGGTACGAAAAACCGAGATCCCGTAAAAGATCCCTTGGCAGTAGAATTTCGATATAAGAGTAGGCCGTAGCGCCGCTGCCCGGGCAAAATTTCCCTCATAGCACACTGTATGGCGTATGCCCGTCTTCATTAGCCCAATTTAGGAGCAAAACAGTAGGACGTTAAACCCCATTTCATTTCATTTCCATTCATTCATTCATTATCGTCTGTCTTCAGTGTTCTATATTTTTCGCTTTTCATGTACCCTATAAACTGTAATTAACGACTGTGGTTAAACCGTTTTACTTATTGTTTGTATATGTGTTAAACATTTAACACGTCATCTTATAGACGTGTGAAACCTTTCTACATGTTAATCATTAGATCAACTTTCATATGACCTATTTTATTTATGCAGAACTGTAGGGCGTTAAACCCTATTTGATTTCATCTTTTACTTTATTTACCAGCATTTGGATTATTGGAGACAAATCCGAATGTCAACATCCTTATCCATGTTAATATCCTTATCCATGTTAAAACTTATCATTAGTTTACAATTTGTACCGAGATTGTTAACTCGCTTTAAATTTTTGTTGTATGTTGATATATATTGTTAAAATAGAATATAGAACAACAAACACGAATCATCTTCCATGCAACGGTTTGTATCAAAAGAAGCAATACGCGCACTAGAACCGGAAAGAGGTTTGGGGTTTTTGGGGTTTTTTTTCGCAATGTCACTAAAATATTGCAAAACGTGGTCTTCAGACACGAAAATGTCTGAAGGTTTCACCCGACTCACTCTGCTGGAATTCTTACCCTAGTAAGATTCACTTATACACAGTTTTAATCTCTGTTTACTATTTTTTAAATAATGTACATCTTTCAGAAACACTTTATTATTCTCTAATTGGTTATTGAGATCTCTTTCCAGTCTGGATAATTCTGTATCAATTTGTAATTCGTTATTACGAGTCTGTGGTTTTAAAAAGACCAGTTTTATATTACATTAACGGGGTGGCCAGCTTTTTCATATGTTTCCAGTGAAATGAAATGGGGGTTTTAATCTCATACTTTTCAGCACTAAGTCATGCATTGTGCTATGTGGAACATTTTGTCCCAACAGCGGTGTTTCCGAATACTCTTTATGGAATGCAAGGGTTCTTTTACGCGTACACCATACCTCGATTTTTCGACCCGTCTGAGCGACTAGAAGCAGTCCCTTGCCATACATACCTCCGGTCTCGCACCTTTAACAGATGGAAACACAGTAAAAAAGTCCAGAGAAACCTTCTCAGCCAACTCCGAATCGAACCCAAGCCCTATTGGTTGGTTTCACTGAGCTCACGTGGATCATATTGGCGACGAGGTCGGTCTTGGAGTATTAAGCTCATTGTGTCAGATTATATTTCAGATTAGTATTTCAAGGATCGGTTCACTCTTAAATAATTTAACATTCACGTAATTTCCTCTAATACCATGGATGCTTTATTTGAAAAAAATAAATTGTCGCGATAAACTTGACCTTGTTTAAATTGTGGGCAAATAAATACGTTTTGATAAAAAAAAATGTCCTTTATGTAAGATTTAGATAAAGAGCTTGCTTTTCTTAAACGGGTCGGGGATTGGTGTTATCCGATCCGTATAACATGAATGAAAGAGACAGGTTACGCGTACTATTTCTAAAAAAACAACATATATCACATAGCAAAAAAAAAACGAAAAACCCCCCCAACATTTGTTGTACTTTGTACTAGACATCAGAATAAATAGTTATACTCTTTTTGTTGAAATTTCTAAATGTAATAATTAAACAAGCACCAAATACTTATTAAAATTTTTGTTATTTTGAGCATCAACCTTTTTTGACACCTTTTTCACTGAAATTTTAATATTTTGATGTGATTACATTTAAAATAAATCTAGAGGATTTCATTGTATTTTGTTCTGTATCTCTAGTAATTCTTTAAAGATTTGTTTCCGCGCCGGGATTCGAACCCGGGCATGCCCTGACGATTTGACCACCTTTGCCCCATTTTCATTAAGAAAGAGTATGTGAATTTTATTGCAAATTAACACCATTGTATTTATATTACAGGGTTCTGAGTGCTGTAGTCAATTGTTGATTAGTTTCCATTATGTGAAACCAGATTTTATGTTGATGCTGGAACACTTACTGTACCGTACAAGTGTTTATGGACGAAAAATAACCGAGGAAGGCGTGAGAAATCTCTTTAAAATCGGTGCTGTAAAACCTCTAACATATTCGCCAAAGCGCTGATCTTTGTTAAGCCTCGTGTTTGTATTGGATTTGCCTCCCACTGCTACATTTTTTAAAAATCTTCCAGCTTTTGTGAAAATCTTAATTGACACTATAGTAAAACGGCAAACACCAGACTAACCCCCTTTCTGAACCTATGACCGGAACAGCTGCGTTCCCCTGTCTTCAGAATTACTACAAACAAAATATAAAACGCAAAGTTCCCTTTGCAATGTTATTAATGGTGTCTGGAATTGCGGTCATTTTGTGTCATATTAGATTTTAGGAAATTCAAATAGAGGCAAAAATTTTGTGTAGGACAGATCGAGCCGCCGAGTGCACAGGCCTGGTTGTGTTGCAGTATTGCTTCCGGTTCCTGAGTTAAACTACTTCCGGTTCAGGTTTCTGCACTTCCGGTTCAGGTTTAGGTTTCTGCACTTCCGGTTCAGGTTTCTGCAACACCGGGTCAAGCACTAGTTTACAATATATTAAAGTGAAATAAAGTTAATTTACGTCAAATAGAAACGAACGATATATGCCAAATCTAGAATTGATTTGAATTTGAGCTGTAATCTTTTGCAGTTTTATGTAAAATCAACGATCTGCTTGAATCAAATATGGACGTTACTTGTATTAAAGCAGCATTGACCATCACCGAGGGCTGGAGAATTTGAAGGAAAACGAGGCTTGGTAGACGGTCCTACTCCTTGTCATAAACACGCACGCATAGGTATTAACAGTTGAGGTACCACCCTAAATGTGTGATATTTTTTTGTAATTAAATTTTTTTTGATAAGTGGCATAATTTAATGTCGGTTATCTAGCAACCACTTGTTTACATATATAGAGGATATTTGTCGTTTTAGAGTGAATAACATATTTTATTTCATCGAGAAGCAAGAAAACTTATATTTTCACGAATGCGTAGCATGAGTGAAAATATAAACGTTTTCTTGCTTAGAGATGAAATAAAATATGTTATTCACGACAAAACGACAAATGTTCTATTTATTTTATGATTTTACAATCATTTTAGGTAAAAACAACATGGACTACTGCTAGCCAGTGGAATAACACTTTTATTTCACTGATAAAACGCGGTATTCCACTACTGATCATAAAATAAATACTCTTATTTACTTAAATATAAGTTTAGGCTGTGATTCCAATCATGTCATGCAATTGTTCAAAGTAAAAAAAGGTGAATTTTATAGATTTCATATTCATAACGACGTATCTTGACACAATTTGTTCATTAAACTTGTTTATCATATTGATGTTGGGTTGTTATTTGTTGTTTTTTTTGTGTTTTTGAAAGAAAAATACGACACCATAAAGTGTGCATGTTGCGAGTATTATTACCTGGATTAAGATCATGTGAATAATAAGAAACCAAGGTGAAAATATTAATATGGTAATGTCTTCATCGAACCACGACGGTCTAGGCTAGTGCGTAAGGCGTCAGCAATGGAATGTCCTAATTCATTATACGCCCACATTTTCATGTGGACGTATAATATTGTCGTCGCTCCTGTCCGTCCGTCCGTTTGTGGACAATCTGCTGATCACAATTTTTATCCGATTGTGACGAAACTTGAAATATAGGTTTATATCACAAAGATCTCCGCTCCTGTCACTATTGGCATGTATCGGGCCGTAACTTATGGATTATGGCCCCTGATTGTGCGAAAAATCATGTTTTAGCTTGTGGACATCCTAGAGGTCACAATTTTTATCCGATTTCGAGAAACTTGAAATGTATGTTTATAACCCAAAGATCTCGATTGTGGCCCCTGGTTGTACAAAAAATCGCCTATTTTTTTAGCTTGTTCTTTAGCTTTGTACGATTCACATATTGTGTAAAAATCATAAACCACGAAATTGCTGTGTGAAGCAGACCAAAATCCAATTCCTCCAAAATCTTTTGATCGTTAACATATCCTAAGTTGTATCTGAATCGGACCAATTATTATGGCGTCTGGAGGGTCCACAACTATCGTGCATATTTCACAATTATACGTAACCAGTAGGGAGCAAACCCCAAGAATTTGTGGTCCGATGTGCACCAAAATCGAACTTATCCGGGATATGCTGGACATAAACATATTTCATAAGTTTCATCAAAATCTGATAAAAATTGCGACATCCAGATTGTCCACAAACAAATGTGAACGAACGGACATGGTCGAAAACATAATACGCCCACAGGAAAACGTGAACGGATAAGAATCGTCTCAATCGGTCCAGTGGGTAAAATTCGGTGGAAGAAAAGCCGAAAAGGCAGCCATCTTGGAAAATCAAAGCCCCGTCGACAACTCATTTACAGGCGCCACTTTGGGTCCCAACTATGACGCCATAAAAACTATATAGGCTGGTTGGAGAAGGTGACAAATCCAGCTTTGTGGGAAGAAATTCCTACCCAAATGATTTCTTCACTTTCTGAAACAACTATGTCCCTAGTGTTCCAGAAAAATTTTCCCCGCGGATCGGAGTCGAGCGAAAATTTTTACAACACTTTGAACTTTTCATCCCTGGGTCAACATAATGAAAATGAAAACCATTTATAACTTCAAAAATATCAATTTTACAGCCTAGAAATATATTATCAACATATAGGAAAGTGATACCAAGGAATCCAGAAATGACGTCAAAAGTAACGTACGACCAAAGCCGTATATAGATAAAGTTGCGACAACTGTGAAGCCAGAAATTTCATATGACGTCAAGAAAATATGACCTCAAGTGTAGTAAGACGCCATCTTGGGTCCCAAGTATTTGTACCTACTCACTATCTATTTTATGTCCTATCATATTGTTGTGTCGAAGTTGGCTGCCCCCGACAAGGATGTATATAGATATGTGTCATCGAATACATTTTTTAAACGAAAAGTATAGCTAAACAAACTATTATTATTATTATTATTATTATGCAGAAAGCGCACATTATTGTTATAAGAATAGTCTAATTCGTAAGAAAGTGAAATAAAAGATACACCAAATAAAAGCGCTATTAAATTGCATACGCTTTTAAAAATCAGATTTTTTGTGCTGACGGGTAAAGTGAAAAATGTAAATGTAAATAGTAATTTGGGAGATACAACCTTTTTGCCTTCTAGCCGGCAAAATAAATGCCTGAAATTCCATGATTTTTGGTCTGGAGTCATTCCGGATTGTGTGTCAGTTTTCTGTCATCGATCATTAATTGTATCATCAATTTTTCGAAAATAGAAATTTCTTTAAATTGACTAATGGATAAATAATTTAAAATCGGTAAAATTTAAATAAAGCGTGACATGTGTCTCGGGCAAATATATTATCAGTGACATTACTGATATACGAGATATCGCTCTCCGAAACTTTCTGGTTTCTTTTGCAATTTGTTTGGGGTAAGACGTTATCACTCCCCGCCCATGAGTAAATAATAATATTAATCTAATATATAAACCGCACAAATTTAACAGATACAAATAATGTACATGTTATTCCACAGGTAGACAGACATTGAAGGGGCCCAGTGAAGGAGACGCAGTTGGTTTAGAGTTTATCAGACTCTTTTGGCTATTTGCGCCCCATTTCCAATGAAATAATCATGTTGTTCTGATGCTCAACTAGTATCAAATATATATCGTGTCTGAGATTTGTTACAAATCGCCCCGAACATGTTCCACACATCTCAATATTTATCAGCTTTTTGTTCAATCTATAAAAGCCTCTATACATTCCTACAAAATTTTTTGTTTAGTTGTTTAGTCAAATGAAACAAGAAAATACATAGGCTAAATGGAACAATAGAACAAGTACACCTTTATAATGTCGACAAATACGTAAAACTATGAAATAAGATACTTCTATGATATGTTTTAACGGAAAGGTCCTATATATGCAACATAGATATAATATCTACATTCAAGTTAAACGAACTGCATCTAATCATTTTAAATATTGCGTCGAGCTGAATAAAGTATATGATTTATTATCATTAAAGGATCTATGGGCGGTTGGTTAACAATGTGTAACTAAAAACTATGATATTATCTTTACTGCCAACATTTCAATGTACCTAAAATTTTTCACACCATGTCTATTGCATCTTGATGTTTAAAGCGCGTTAACAATATATTCATTTAAGAGCAACTATGTCATTTCGGGATTAATATACCACATAAAGTCATACCCAGCGGAAAGAAATGACGATTAATTAAAATTCCACCAATTTGGATTTCATTTTGCCAGCCATTGTGAATTTCTACCATCAAGATTTCTCGAAATTAAATTTTTGAGATTATATCTGCCCTTTTATTACCAAATTAATGTTGTTTTTTTTTCATTTTTATTTTTATTTTTTAAAGTGATATTCTTTTACCAAATTTGGCAGTCATATTGAAAGAAATGCCCGCCACCAAATGACAAATACATTTTTTTTATTGATGTTTGTCAAATTCAATTTTTCCACACATTTCGCTTGCATAACCACTCTGTGTTTGAAGAATTTAAAAAGAAATTATTTACACCCCCCCCCCCACCACTAAAATACACTGATTACGAGATATCGCTCTCCGAAAATTCCTGAAGAACACCCAATTGAATTCTGTTAATCATGTCATTTTGGCCGATTTTGAGTATGATTTCGTCTGACATATTTATCATTGAACCAAACTGCATTGGTTTCTTTTGCAAATTGTTTAGGATGAATTGTAGCCCGTAAAACGTTATACCAAGAAAAAAATAAAACGTTTTGTTAAGTAAAGCTATATGACACCATGACGTCATAGTTTTTATGGCGTTATAGTTGGGACACCAAAATGGCGCCTGTAAATGAGTTGTCGTAACTTTCCCTATACACGGCTTTGCGTACGACGTCACCGTGACGTCAGAACAAAAAATGGCGGAACTATGACGTCACTGTGATGTCAAAATTCAAGATCGTTGACTACCTGATTGATTAGACGGATTTTGTTTTCAATGTTGGCCAGAAACTGGGCTTGACTATAGATAACTGTGGTGTCCAATTTCAGAGAAATGTCACTGCTCCTATATTTAGACGTAGCAGCTCGGCGCTCGTGCTGATGATCCTTAATATTTGGTTCATAGACGTCGAACACGACGATTGGCGAGGGACCTGAAGCCAGGTGTTAAAGTTCAAGGCAAGACAGTGCGAGTGCAACCAGAAGTTCTTTTTCAAAGATGTATTACGGTGGCACAGCGCACAGGTACAGATATTCAACAGTTCTTCAAATATGAGTTGAGTGCCTTCCCGTCCTCACTGCTTGCAGGAGCTTTCATGCGACATGTAACCAAGTCCGATCTCGCTGAGCATTTGCTCAAGAACGTTTCACCCGTTTCGAACACTTCGCTCACCAGTGAAATAACTGTCATTGATGGAGGTCTGCTAATTTTTGTAAGGTGGAATAAGGGTACGAATATCTCCAACATCTTAGAAAACTATCGGTCATTTGTAAAAAGATTTCCCTAGCCAATCGTCGTGTTCGACGGCTATGAACCAAATACGACAATTTGGCGAGGGAAATCTGGTTGTTTCGGATTCAGTAAATTGGGACTTCTTAAACATACGAACAGTGACATCTTTCAGGAAGCTAGCAAGATAATAGCTTCACCTGGAAGTTCCCAGTCCGAAGTATCTGAAGCTGGGGAAAGGTTATTCTGTGCAATGTCAATGTATGGTCACAAAAATGAGATTTCTCTGACTAAAGTCCGGTACCTAAGGTACAAAGCTATGATTGCTGAAAAATTTTCCATTCAAATCAATAGACTTCCTCCAACAGCTGCCGCGGCCGAGCAGCATGCTCACCGCATTCATGTTCAGGTTAGAATTTGGGATGAACTAGACGATGGCGTCGATCCTGTGAATTGTGGTTGGCAAGTGATAGATAATAGATACGTTCCCATCGCGACTGTTCTTCCATCAGCACCAGACAACGTTCTGAATTTCATCTGGTATAAATGTAAATCGTTGAAACACCAATGCTCGTCATGTTCTTGTACACAGAATGGTTTGAAATGTGTTGAAGCGTGTGGAGGATGCCACGGGGAGGGTTGTCTCAATAGCGAACAAATCAGCATTGATTTAGAAGATGAATTTGGTACGGGGTAGAACAAATGATCCGAATGAATATTTTATGGTGTCCAGAATATTCCTCTTGTCTATTTGCTTGCTGTTATTGCTTTATTCATAACACGTCTCCGCCATTTTGAATTTTGACATCACAGTG